TGCATGACTCAAGGTATGGTTTTGCTCTATTAACTTGTGCACAAACAGACTGAATGGGCCAAGATGCCTGGTCCAATTATACAAAAAGATTAAAAGGAAGGAGGCTTATGGAAGGGATAAGAACTGTTTCCCTCTACTTCCATCCTGAGGAAGGTGGAGGAACTGGAGGGAGCAATCCAGTTGGTTTGACCTCAGAACTTAAGGCTGGAAGACAAGTCTCAGCAGGAGGAGGTTTCCTAGAGGGAAATGGTATGAAGGTGGCAAGGTGAAGGTGGACCTCAGGGCTTTCAGGGGCCAGGATAGAAGCTCCGGATCAGTTACTTGTCTGTGATGCTACGTGCCAGGGTGCACACACAGGACAGGTCCAGGTGTGGCACCGCATCTGCCCAGGGGTTGCTGTTTTGCCTCCATTGCCCATGGGGGCTGTGCACAGAGACAGAGAGGGAGGCTCTTCCAGGAACCTTAGTCCATTCCTTCAGTCTTGTGGGGCCAGGTGAAGTTGAATCTAACCATGCCCCCAGCTGGCCCCTCCTGGAGCTCAGGTGGGGTCAGCACATGGCAGCATGGAGGGTGCGCTCCTGAGCAGATCAAGCTCTGCCAAGGGAGGAGGAAGAGGGCAGGGTGCTGGGTCAGCACCTGCACTGCCCTGCATGTATGACAGGTGCTTCCACCACTAACCAAAGACCTGGGCTGCGGGGAGCAGTTCCAGGAAGTGAGGGCAAAAACAGACCAGTGAGAAGCAATAATATTGCCATGGCTGGGATGGTTTCTCATCTTCCTTAAGCCTGAGGAGGAAAGAGGTTTCTTTGTGTCATAGGCCAAGTCTTATAATAGTGTGATAACTATGTATCATGAGCTCTCTGTAAATAGTATAACTGTATCAGTAGCGCTCTTCAAATACTATAACTGTATATTGATAGCTGTTTGTAAATACTCTGTGTATCAGTAGCTTTCTGTAAATACTGTAACTGTGTATTGATAGCTATACATAATTTAACTCCACAGTTATCGAAGTACTGTAACTGTATTAATAACTATCTGTAAATACTATAAGTCTGTATTAATAGCTATCTGTAAATACTATAACTCCATAGCTACCTATAAATAGTACAACTGTATTTATAACTATTTGTAAGTACTATATCTCCATAGCTATCT